AGGAAAAGCGAAGAGCTGGGGACAGTAAAGACGACACCCTAACCCTATTTGCAGACCTGCCTGAGGCCCGGCGCCGTCAGACCCCGCGGCAGGGTGGCCGCCCCGAGGTGTCTGTGCGGGGGTCGGGGAGGCCCAGAACCAGGGAGCTGAGAGCCCGCCAGGGTGTGCAGTGGGGCTGGGGCCACCGAGGCTCCAGCGAGGTGTTTGGAGAGTGGCTTTGAGCATCGCCGGGACCTCGGGTGGGAGTCTTGTCAGAACAGCACTGTCGGGTGAGCACTCACCTACCTGTTCCTGGCCTGACCCCTGGGCGAAGCAGAAGAGCAGGACATGAGGACCCCCCAGAGCCGCCCTGTGACCCCCGAAATCATGAAACCACCACCACCTGTGCCTCCCCACGTGGCGCTGCTCTGGGAGGAGGAGGGACCATGCGGCGACAGCTCCAGGCTTTCCAGGCGCAGCCCCCAGAGGCCCAGGATTCTGCCTCCACTGTGCCCCAGAACCTTCCACCACGTCCTGGGGAGGGGCCACCACCACCCATGGGGACCGTTCCCCGGAGCCAAGGTCTCGGCCCCTGATAATGACCCCGCACGAGCCACAACTGGTGCCTTCGTGGTTGTCAGCTCGCTGGGGACAGGGCCGCATCCCCCAGGTTTGTGGAGAAGGGTCTGCAGAAAGCCAGGGAGCTGTAGCGTGGGGCACGTGTCCTCGCCCCTGGCCTGCGGGGTGCCATCTGCTCCCACCCCTCCTCCCTGAGCTAATAGTGCCCAGGACAACCACAGCCCACCCCTTCCCCTCTGCCATGGGCTTGGGACTCTCGGAGAACAGCCCTACACTCAGTAGTCAGTGCCCCCCACAGGGCCCTGGGACACCACAGAGGTTTAGGACAGAGGTCCCCAGACGACAGACGCCCACTCAGCCATGCGGCCCTGTTATTCCATACGGTCACAGGTTACGTGTGTAAATTGTGGGCAATCTCCGTGAAGTTGTTTGTTTGTTTGTTTTCAGTTTTGTTTACGTCAGTGAGGATGGACATCCCAGGGCAGCTCATGCACAACGTTCTTTCACAAACCACCGTCATACAGTGTAATTAGGAGTCTTCAAGCCCAAGTCACCAAAACAACACGAATTACAATTACGTTGGTCTCTTGGATCTTGGAAAATTAAAATGATAGAAACAAGAAAACGTGAATTCTTGCTGCACCAGCAGCACGATCCTGGGGCTCTCTGCCCTTACTGCCAGCGGCACAGCCCTCTTGTTCCTGGGGGGCGGCCGCCTCGGGGAAGGGCCTCTCACTCGGGCCCAGGCCTGGCACTGAGGAAGGCACAGTCCTGGTGGCACCGCCCAATGCAGGCGCCTCTGCGAGCCACGGGCGCTGTTCACTGTGCAGGGGCAGGTGCAGTGACTTCCTGAGCCCCAGCACCCACCCTGCAAGGCTCCCTAGTGTTTATGGAAACTCTTATGAACTAACTCATCCATTCCTCACCAAAATTCAATGAAGTAAGTGTTTCCACTTTACAAACGGGGTTCAAGGTCTGCTCGAGACCCATCCCACTGACGGGCAGCAACTGCAGGACCTGGCCCAGAGCTCCCCGTGGGGTACGGCA